CTAGTTTCTTTTCTTACGGCTTAAAAAATATAAAAATTTAAAAATTTGACACTTAACACTCACTAATCTTTGAAATATTAAAAAAAAAATTATCCTATATACTATGTCAAAAAAATTGTTTACAACTGTTATGTAATAATATGTGAAACCCAAAAATCAGAAACTCTTATCAWGTCATACCTGTGCATATTGACTTAAAATATTTTTTCTAATTTTAACTAAATCAGAATCTTCCTCGTCTGAATTTAGTTTATTAGCTTTATTTGGAACTGTCACAACGGTCCTTATGTTTGTTTCTAGCATTTTAACYAAAGTTTCTTCGGTGTCTTCTATGGGTGTTTTGATTTCATTAGCATCACTGTCATCTTGAGTGTCATACATGTCTATTATTTCCATACATTGGGATTTCACTTCGTTCTCGCTCTGTGGAATAGTAAAAATAACATAAATTTTGTATGATTCAAATGTTTATACACGTTTAGAAAGAGATTTCTGTTTCGCCACAAGTCACAATGCATATGGGCTATATTCCAATGTGCAGTCTACCAAAATATAAATTTTATATAGATAAGAAATTAATAATATTTATGTAATTAACAACTATAGGTACTAAGGTAGGTAATTAGGTTGAAAATATGGAATTCTTTCATTGGCATTTCAAAAAGATGATTTTAATCTACCATAGGAGAGTTCTGAGTAACTCGACATAATACACGTTGTATGATACTGGACCAACTAAACCATTGTTTTCTTTATTGACCTAATGACATTAAAACACTTGAATTATCGAGATTAAAAGTTAAAAATATGTAGGAAGTGGTTTATAACGACAAAAAATACGATTATGACGTCGAGATCCCAGTCACAGACCAACCGTAGGCACTCTGTAAAACACAAAACCCAAAAACTTCCAAAAAAACTGCAGCAGACCGCAAACCAGTTGACAGGCCGGAGAAACCATGATATGAGGAGGTACTTACCAACACTTCTCCGAGAATCGCCTCCAGTGCGCTGATCTTTTCACATCGATCTTCTTCGCCGTCCAACACACTTTCGATGTAATTTAAATAGATCTCCTCGTCCAACGCGAATTGTTTGAGTTTCGACGACAGCCACGCCGTCTTTGTGCACTGGGCCGACATGTCTCTATGTCCGAGGGACAGACGACCAAGGAACCGTGTGTTGAACAGGTGCTTGCAAACGTCTGTCGAACGTAGGTAACCGTGTTGCCGGTCCTTCGAAAATTCCACGACAGGTGACCGGAAGTGCCCGATTCTCGCGACGCCGCCAGATTYGCTACACGGTACACGCAAACCGGGTCCGAACCGAGCAGTTCCGCCGGACGGAATTCTAAGGTTCGACGTAGATATTACAATATAATATTATTGTAACATGTTCGGAGTTTCAGACGCGCGAAGTTTTTGACTAGCCCGTTGCCACTATCACGGTTCAAACTCCAACCGTTATCACGATATTGTATTATTATCACATTACTATGAGATAACGCATATTATATAACATACGAATGGATCTTCGCAGGAAAATTTTTTTGTGTCCGTATACAATATTGCCTATATTTAGCCCCTTTTTTGCAGCTATCAAAATGTGAAAACATCATTTTCGTTATAAATTATAATTCTATATTTTATTGTAATTAGATTTAATGATTTTGTACATTGCTAAATTCRAATTAAAATAGTTAAATGCATTAATAGTTAAATAAATGTAATAATACACAATTCGTTGCGAATACTCCAAGCGAAAATATTATAATAGAAATGTTATAATTAGGCTATATTTTGTATTTTTTTTTTTTTTTTAAATACAAAATCATCTTGTCGTCAAGTATTTCAAATACAAAATTAGATTATAAATACAGTTTACTAACTATTTGGCCTATAATTGAACACTCATAGTGTAAGCGTTCCTATGTTGTTCCTTTCACAGAATCTTGAACATCATTTAATACTCTTTGAATAGGAACCAGTATTTATAATAGATGGTACTATATAGTATTATATAAAATAATATTGCTACTTGCCAATTTTTCTCYATCAGCTAAAACATATTTTAAAACATTGCAATAAAATTAGTGAATCACTTACAAACTAGTCAAAACCCATGCGAACTGAGGATATGAATACAATTAACATAAAAAAAAAAAAATTGAAAAACAACCACGTTTCTTCGTTAAAATATTTTAAATGTTCATTTATATGACGATCATTCTTATAGCGTTAAAAAAAATGAATTCCTTAATTGTTTAATGGTAGCTTTTAAATGACGACCGTAAGTGAATATCGTGTTTTTATTCAAATTGTGTATTATATTAAATTTATTTAACTATTTGAATTTCAATTTAGCAATATATAAAACCATTAAATCTAATTATAATAAAATATAATATAATTTATAATGAAAATTATGTTATCACATTTTGATAGCTGCACAAAAGGGGCGAAATGTAGGCAATATTATATACGGACACAAAAATTTTTTTCCTGCAAAGGTCCATTCGCATTATAATATACCTATACATAAGACCGTGTTATGGTCCATAGAGAATTATTCTCCTTTGGTGTCAGGTAATTGGTATGGTCAAATGTTTCTACCATGATGTGGATTGTGGATGCTGCAAAAAAAAGTTGTATGAAAAGTACTTCATAAAATGGCGATTATGTATTATTTTGTAAAACTAGCCAGTGATTAGCTGTACATGGACGATCGACTCATATTAAATTATTATTAATTATAAGAAATGTTGTCCATAATGTTAGAGGCCATCACACAAACGTTCTAAGTAGGTACCTATTATACTACCTAGGTATCAAATTGCAAATTTACGATAACCAKAACCAATTTTGTGTGGCAGTAACTTTATTCGACTAACAGCTTTAATATTAGAGTAAAATTTATTGTTGACGTCTTATAAAAATAATATAAAAAGTAAAAAGTAATGTGTAATCTACATTTATTTTTGAAATACCTAGGTATCAAAATCTTTTAGCRAAATAATTTATGAAAAATTGTAACTCTAAAGGTCAAAAAATAAAATCCCAAATTGGCTCAGAACTCGCTTAAAATTAAAATATGGTAAAAAATYAACATACGAACACAGATGATAATATATACCTACTCACTATTGCAATATTGCCTATTGGTAAACTAACTTTAAAAAGATAAAGCTCACTATACAAAATTTGTTCTGATGAACGCAAGTGTAAAATATTTAATGTTATAGGTACGTCCATGAAACTGAGACAATTGTGTAAGCACGTCATTTGGGTACCTATTTTACGATGAAACAATGTACAATATCGTAGCATATTGCTCTTGATGTCTTGATTTAAAAAAAGGAGATCTGATCGATAAGAATAACTAGAACTTGAATAAGGTACCAAATAACCATTGACGCAAATAGGTTGGGGCTTGGGGTAC